TACTTCAATATTTTTATAAGATTTATTTACCTATGCATACAAGAACTGGGGTGCAGGCCAGAGATGCTGGGGACTTGGGGGTGAGAGGATTCACCAGAGACAGAGTGGGGAACAGAACAGGCAGACTGACTGAAATACACTGCTGAGGGGAGCAGCAGGTGACACAGGAGAGGTCTGCTGTGTCATGTGGGTAGCTCCTTGGCCGGCAGGGGATGGAACTAGTGTTGCAGAGGCTGTGGATTGCTCCATAATGCAGTGCTTAATCCCTTGCGCCACCAAGCAGGCCCAATATAATTATTTTTTAATTAAAAAAATAAAAAGAAACCAAGTTCTCAGATGGGTGGGAAGTGGAGAGGCTGACCTCAGAAATAAATCAACCAATCAAATTAAGTAGAAAAGTGATGTGGCAAGAAGGAGAACATAACCATTCGATAGCCCTGGCCAACTCATGTTCATTCCCCTGCCTCTGTTCATGGAATTCTAACCTTGCACCCAAATTTCACACCAGGTTGCTACAGGGCTATTGTGAAGACTAGGGGTGGTCTGGCTGTAATAGTGATCGATCATTCCAGCTTACCAAGTTTTCCAAGATGTGGGACATTTATCTGTAAAACCAAGAGTCCTGAGAAAAACTGTAATGGATTGGTCATCTTACTACCGAGTTTTCTATGTCCATGGTAGATACTGGACATCAAATTAAAGATATGCATTTATTTACATACTTGAATCATATTCAGTTCATCTAAATTTAAGTTAAAATGTTAACTTAAAGTCAACCTATAAATATGACTATTTTATTCATAAATATATACATTCAAAATATATGTACCAGTCCTCCCTGGTGCCGTAAGGGTTAAAGACAGCGCTATCAAGTTATCAACAGCTACTTCAGCATGAACTTGATCTCTGCCTCACCAGGGAGCAACCCAATGGCTCAGCAGACCTCTCCTGTCTCCCCTGCTCCTCCCCTCAGCAGTGTATTTCAGGCAGTCTGCCTGTTCTGTTCCCCACTCTGTCTCTGGTGAATCCTCTCACGCCCCACACCTCTGGCTTACACCCAGTTCATGTATGCGTAAATAAATAAATCTTTTTTAAAAATATATGTACTACTATATTATGTAAAAAAGTAAGACTAATCATTTTCTCTCTTCTTGAAACTAACATTCCATTAACTTGTAAATTTAAAAGATTATTTTCTTCTAAACAAATAATTCATATGAACTAACATAGCTAAATTCCCTTAAATATTCTAAATACTTACAAATTTAATATTGGGTCAACTCAGACATTTCAGTTGTCTCACAGAGTTAGAAGTTTAAGAAACAAAATCTTACTACTCATCAAAAAGTGATAAATATACTAAATAAAGATTACAGACATAATAAATCAAATTCACCTAACATTCAAAATATGTTCAGAAGCTTAATTATTATCTTGAGAGTTTCTAGTGAAAATCTTTTAATTTTCCAACAGCATAGATAACATACACTCACAAATGATGATGATTGTAAAGCTTACATTTAACTCCAGTTTTGAATTGTGGTAGTTCACTTTATCATGACCAAATTCTTGTCACCATCTTCCCAGGCCTGCAAAGGCAGTCATCCAACCCAGGTACAATGTACGATCCATGATCTGTGAAACCAGGACCCAGGATGTACTTCGTTGAGGCCAACTTGGTGCCTACACAGTTGGGGATTTCTAAGTCCATGTGTCCCGTTTTCCAGTTTCTGTTTTAACTTCTTATATAATTCTTAATTTTCTGACTTTAATTAAAGAGATTGTGAATCCTATTTGTCTTCAAGCAGCCTGTCTCCCTCCTGGTTGACAAGGAAGAGATGCTTCCCCTCTTTATATCCGCCTTAACTGCCTTGTGTTCAAGTATTCTGAAACTCCTTGATAGAAAAGAGAGACCCTTTTGAACATTTAAAGTGCCTTACAAATGTAAGAAATGTACACTTATGAATGTTGGCACCATTATTATTTGGTCATTTATTAACTTCATAGCAATTCTCAATAAATATTTGTTGAATAGGAAGTAAATGAATAAATCAGAATTCTAATATCTGTATTTTGGGAACTGGTAAATGACTTTAATATTTCATCTGGAAGAAAAAGCAAACAAGAACAGGTAAGAAATTTTCAAGGGAAATAGTAATGAAGAAGGCTTAAATATGAAAGACATTAAGTAATTATGTGATTCAAATGTGATGAAAAATATTATTGGCACCAAAACTGACAAGTTGCTTAAAGGAAAAGAAATGAAAGTCATAAAATTGATATTCACATATAAGATTACATCGTTTATAGTAAAGCAACACAATGAAAAGCAAATGACCTATTACACAAATGGTGTTGAGGGCCTCCCTGGTGGCATAAGGGGTTAAGACACAACCTACGAAGCTGTCTGCAGCCACCTGGCGCAGCAGACCTCTCCTGACTCACCTGCTGCTCCCCTCAGCAGTGTACTTCAATCTGTCTGTTCTGTTCCCCACTCTGTCTCTGGTGAATTCTCTAACCGTCCCTCCCACCCACCCCTATATCTCTGGCCTGTATCCCAGCTCTTGTATGCATAAATAAATAAATCTTTAAAAAATAAAATAAAATAAACAAATGGTCTTGAGATATCACCTATATGGGAGAAATGTGTGAAGCTTGTTGCAAACAACACCAAAGTAAATTTCAAATAAACTGAAGAGTACAGTTCAAAGAAACTAAGTACACATTGATCTTTGGACATAAAGATGTTCTGAGCACTAATATAATGATACAAACTAAGACAAAGGAAAAGCTTGAGTATGGATCCATATATATTGACAATTTCTATATAATGAAAATACCACAAAGTTCTACAGAGGGAGAAGAAAATATCAGCACATCACATACAAACTTGTTGTATGAAATCAATATGAAAACATTCTCCTTCTCCCACCTCCCCAAATAAAAGTACCATAAGGAGATTTCACTGCTGATAGGGAACCAGGAAAGGAAAGAAAAGATAAAATATTAAATGCCAAAACACAAGATTTTAAAAACAGTTTAGAAATCTGTTCAGAAGTAGAGACCAGCAAGCCAAAAATTCCACTTTAACATTGACATAAAACCACCGACAAGAGACAATGGGAAAGCAACATCATTTGAGTCAATAAGCATTTTTCCTAAAATGAACAAATAAGTCAAGGTATGCATGTGTTTGATATAAAATATATGTATCCCTGTAATGCGTAATTAGTAACATCTCCAGTCTAGATTCCATTAACTACTATGTTCATGTTCTTCTGGTGCAAAAAAAAAAAAAAATGTTTAAATAATGACTGAAGAACTGCATGTTCTTGAAGTTTCTTTTCAATCTTTATTCAGGCTTTGTGCCACATCATTAATATAGATTGTATTTCTATCACAAATATCTGTAGCTTCAAGTGACCAGGCATCATTTGCAAGATAGTTCTAATAACTGTTCCATTCCCTGACAACTTTTGTGTAACAGGACTTCTGCTACAATATAATATAAATTCCTTTTCCTGAAATGTAGAAACTAGTATTAAACAAAGTTGCTATTTAATAGAGAAAGAGTTAAAGTACAGTATGTTTAGTTGAGGAAATGAAGCTAAACAAAAAAATGTAAAAATCTTAAATTGCCAGAGAATATCCTCAATCAGCAAAAGTTAAATGACACTTGAGCCGGTTGTTTATAAAGAGATGATGGTGCAAAAAGCTGCATTTTCTGTCTTTTGCAACAGGTGGCACTATACTGGCACCCTGCCTCCTGAGCATTGACTGGGAAGGAAGGAAGCTGCCAAGAACCACGAAGACCACTTCCTGTAACAGTGATCATGGGATCCATTATTTGTCTTTGATTGTGACCTTCAAGAACCTCACTCTGTCACAAAACATAACACAAGACCACATACAGAAAGACACTTAGTAAGATATACTAGATGAAGATAATTTCAGTCATTCTTCCTAGGAGTAAATTAATTTATCATTCACACATTTTATTCAGTCAATAACTATTTTATTGAGTACCTTTTATATTGGACTCCATGTTGATGCTGGAGAAAATAAGTGGATCCTGTTCTTACAGACCTTGTGATTTAGTGGAGGAAAGAGACATTACTGAAATGCTCACATTAAACCATAATTAGTCACCCAAAAGAAAAGCACAAGTTACACAACAGCACAGACAAGTTAGGACAGAAAACCTGCATAACTATGCCTAATTTCTTCATGGAATGAGATAGGAATTGTCTAAAATGTTAAAAAACAAAACAAAACTGCCCTGTGCATAGCTGCTAAGGACACGGGCCAAACCCAGAAGAAAGGGGATGACTGGTTAGTAGATTCTCACCCCCACACTTCAGAATGCAACATACAACCCAAATACACTCACACACACACGCAGAGGGAAACTGAAAGGGTATCTGTACACAGGGAACTAGGACAAGGGAGAAAGGGGAAAGAGAGTAGGAAAAGAAAATATCTTGACCAGCACATCCATAGATGTCATCTATCAATCCCCAGAGAGCTTCTGCTCAGCTGAGACTGGGGTCCATGCAGTCTCGGGGAGGGAGCCAGCAGAGAAAAGAGCCCTCTTAGTGGCAGATGGGAAGTCAGCCAGGAGAGCCGGCAGCCTGTTGGGTCTTTAAAGTCCCCCAGCTGGCCCTGCTCTGCCCCTCAGTCCTAGAAACCTGCCAGGGAGTGAAGGGGTGGCGCTGTGAGACTCACTGCTGTCTTACTTGAAGGCATTAGGAATATCAGTGGCACTCCTTAAAATCACTCCCTCTCCCAGCTGCGCTGACTTATGGACACAATAACCAACAGACACAGGGAAAGAGCCCTATTCATCTCCCACCAAATGCACACTTGATCAGAGTCTGACAGGCTCCACACTTTCTCTCCTCTGTGGCTCTCCTTCAAATGCAGTAATTCCATCAGAGGCTGCATGGAACCTACAACTTAAATTTCCAATGCTTTTTTTTTTTTTTTTGAAAAATCATGGATAATATCTTTATTACATTGTTGGCTGATTCAAATACACTTGTTTTTCCCTGGAATCAGCTACCTTGATCTTCCAATACTGCTTTAACCACCTCTTGGTGTCTCAGCTAAGAATGCCTGTCTCAGTTCCGCCTGGAAATCCACAAGTACTTGCTGCAGCTGAGATCGCCTTGGGTACGGCTGACACCCTTGGTTGCTCAGAGAGGCGGTCCTTCTGCGTTTGACTTGGACTTCCACCTCTGGTACGTGCTGTTCAGTTGTCCGTCTCAGGTGTAAGCGGTCCCTGGCCCGCTCCATCGCGCCGCTGGCTGCTCCTCAGAAGAGCGCGTCAGGCATCTCCCGCGGACACTCGCATCTTCCAATGCTTTTCTTTATGTCAATTCCCTTCTCGTGAAACAGAAGCGCTGACTCACACGAAGTTATTGCTCATTCTATTTTTTACCCATATAATTCAAGATTTTCTATGATACTGGAACTTCCATTCAACCTGCCTCCCACTGGTCCCCTGACAAATCCCATAGGCATAGAGGGGCAACTGCCACCCTTGGACCGGACGTTACCTGTCTCCCTTCCCTGCTTTTGCCCCACACTTTGCTCCATGCCATTCTAGGCATCTGAAGTGGTTTTCTCTCTTGTCAGTAAATGATACCTTCCTTAAAACAAAATTACTAACTAGTGAAGTATTACAAGTAATACAAGTATTACTTTAAAAAAAAATTAGGGGCCTTCCTGGTGGCTCAGGCAGTTGAGCACAGCGCTGTGAAGCTGTCTGCAGCCTCTGCAGTGCCGGTTCGATCCCCGCCAGCTGCGGAGCAACCCGCACGGCCCATCCGACCTCTCCTGTCTCGCCCCCTGCTCCCCTTAGCAGTGTGTTTCAGTCAGTCTGCCTGTTCTGTTCCCCACTCTGTCTCTGGTGAATCCTCTCACCCTCCCGCACATCTGGCCTTTACCCCAGTTCTTGTATAAATAAAATAAAAATAAATCTTTAAAAAAATTAATATTGGTAATAAATAGCTTTGTTTTTTTAATATTTTATTTTATATAATTCTTACGTCATTTTTCATCCTTGTACAATGCATTTTCATTTTGGTTATATTCCCCATACAATTGCACCCCCCCCTTATTTTGACTCCAGTTCTTCCTCTTCCTGCCCCTCCCTAATCCCCCCCCCAGTGTGTCTCTGGTTTATAGCTGCTTGTTGATTTTGATTATTATTTTGCATTGATTAGTCTTTTTCCTGGTCTCTTATTTAGGTTTTCTAAATTCCTGCTATGAGTGAGACCATCCAGTATATTTGTTTTTCTTTTTCTTTTTGACTTATTTCCCTGAGCATGATCCCTTCTAGCTCCATCAATGTTGCTGCAAACTGCATGTGTTTATCTTTTTTGATTGCTGAGTAATATTCCATTGTGTATATGTACCACATCTTCTTGATCCAGTCATCTGTTTTTGGGCTTTTGGATTGTTTCCATATCTTAGTTTAAATAGCTTTGTTTTAAATGTATTTGCTTGACAAAATCAAAAGTTGATATGCTTCCCTACCATTAAAAATGTTTTATTAGATAACATCTTTTGAATTATTGAGTCAAGAAAGCACAGGCTACAGAGAAGACTCTCTTGAAAGGCCCCAGCCTGACTGCAGTTGGTAAAGGAAATTCACCTTCACCTGAGAAGACAGTCACAGTCCTGAGGTCCCTGTGAGTCTAGGCCAGGAGAGTTTGAAGAAGGCGAAGAGCCCTTTCTCCTCTCTGTTAAGATTTACCCTCAGAGCTCTGGTTTCCTGTCTGAGGACCAACATGTTCTTCTGGCCATTCACTGGACAGACGCGGTCTACCCACAGGGCTGCGGTCCCGGCCTTTTAGGCCTTTACGGAACAACCACATTAGAACCTGACACGTGGTAGAAAAATGTTCAGCATATAGCATGGTGACAACATTATTTTGAAATACCTGACTCTGCTGCTTTCTTTTATATTTCCTTATGCTGACCTTCCCACCATACTTGCAGAAGTTTCCGTTTGTCCTAGGGAGGTTAAGAGTCAGTTACAAGGAGGGTTTTTTTTTTTTGAAGATTTATTTATTTATGCATACAAGAACTGGGTACAGACCAGAGGCGGGGGGTGGTGGGTGGTGAGAGGATTCATCAGAGACAGAGTGGGGAACAGAACAGGAAGAATGACTGAAATACACTGCTGAGGGGAGCAGCAGGCGAGGCAGGAGACGACTGCTGTGCCATGTGGGTAGCTCCCTGGTTGGGGATCGAACTTGTGCTGCAGTGGCTGTGGACAGCTTCATAGATTGCGTCTCAACCCCTTGCGCCACCAGGGAGGCCCCACAAGGTGGGTTTTTCAGCAAAATGATCTCAAAAGCTAGGCTGATAAGAGAGGGAAAGATTCCTTTATCTCCTAGATTTATATCTTGGATTCCTTCAAATCTCTCTTGGCATATCAAAAGCCAATGGAATCACCGAGTTTTATAAGGGTAGTCTTGGAGTGGACTGGAAGAGAAAGCAGAACACCCACCCTATCAGTCCTATTAGACTGTCTGAGTGAGTCTAGTTTCCCTTCTGATTCCACCCAAAATGGAAAGATTTGTTAATTAGGCAGAGAGAAGCTTGAGGGCTTCTAAACATTTCATCTTCAGGACTGAGAAGATCTCATATTGAAGGCTGGCTGGCACTGCCCTGGGCACCGTTACATCAAGGTTTAACTCAATAGTACAGCCTGATTTTTCAGGGACAGAGAAAGAATGTAATTTTTCTGAGCTGCCCTCAGGACCAGTCTGGAATAAATTTGACCAAGGAGTTCCTCCCTGCTCCAGAGATTAGATCTGGAAAGTAGCTGAGCTGAAAACCAACAGACTTGTGTGCATTGGTCATCAGGAGGGAAAGGTGAGTCCACAGTGAGTGTGGATAGACATTCTAGGCAAGAGGCAGATGGAGGGTGTGGGATGTTCAGCAGCAGCCAGAGCAGAGCTTGAGTCATGAAGGACACAGCAGGAGGAGCCAGGAGGAACCAGACCGCAGGGACTGCAAGGACAGCCTCAACGACAGGTGCTCACAAAGCAATCCAGGGAGTGCCCAGATACCCACAATAGAAATCCGCAGAAATGTACAGGATGCTGCATGGCCTTGAGGATCCCATCTTCCCTCTGTCCCTATAGGGGTCCATTGGTCACAACTCCCCCCAAACCCAGACACCTCCTCAAAAAAGATAGAAAAGGAGAATGCGGAGGAGGAAGGCAGAGCAAAGCAACCATGGTTGCTATCTGCAGTGGCATAAGGGGGAAAAGCAGGTGCCCTTGGTAGCAACTGCTGTCTGCCTCCCAGATCGCAGGACCCTGAGGTGCCCTGGAGAAGCTGTTCACACTATAAACAGGTAACCAGCAATGAGGACCTGCACACTCCAGTGAAAACCCTTTATTAGAAACTCCTTAAAATATGTGACTTCTGTGGAAAATGTGTAGATTATAAAGAGACACAGCTTTTGTCCCTGTTTATTTCTCCATTTATTAGGTGCATAGCAACTTTTTGGGTGGGGAAATCACAAAAACCAGTTCAGAGGGCTGAAAAAATGGGGCTTATTTGTTTGTTTAATCGAGGCAACTGGCTTATAACACTGTATGTGATTCAGAGGCTTGGGGTGACACCTCCTCAGATGCACTACCCCAAACCCACCACCAAGGCACCAGCGTTGTCCCCCACTACAGCACAGTGTGTTCCTCCCCATGTTTACCCGCTTCCTCCTCTCACAATCTCAGTCCCACAGTCAGATTCCTAGAGTAAATAACAGGGTTTATGCCAGTTACATATACAATCCCTGCATATCTCAAAGACCTTACAGTTTGTAATATCAAATATTGGGAGTAAAGTACGTTATTATCAATAAGCTTATTTTACAATAATTAAAGAGACTGCCGTATCTAAGCAACTAAGTACTTTTTACCTAAAGAGATGGACCATTTACCTAACATGTCTATTTAAATTGTTGCAAAATATTTTCCCCTCTATTCACTATTTGGAGGCTTGGAAGGAAGATAAGAACAATTTTTGAGAAATGAATATGCTGCATCGTCTTTGCACATTTATGAGCAGGGTGAAAAATTCCGCAACCCTTCACATGTGTGAGCATTGCCAGCTTTCCCATCCTCCTCCCCACTGCTAAATTTGGTGCTGCTCAGCCTGCTCAGTTCCTCCCATCCACCCACACCCAACTGTGGAGAAGAGCTTGGAGGGTCCAGACCGGATCTTTGGGATTTTCAATGCAGAATCAGGGATTAGGAGAGGGAAAGAAGTAGAAGACTTATGAGTAGATTCTTTTTTTGAAAAAAAGATTTATTTATTCATGCATACAAGAACTGAGGTTTTTTTATTTATTCATGCATATAAGGCCAAAGGTATGGGGAGTGAGAGGATTCACCAGAGACAGAGTGGGGAACAGAACAGGCAAACTGACTGAAATTCACTGCTGAGGGGAGTAGTGGGCGAGTCAGGAGAGGTTTGCTGTGCCATGTGGGTAACTCCCTGCCCGGGGATCGAACTCGTGCTGCAGTGGCTGCGGACAGCTTCATAGGTTGTGTCTAAACTTTTTGCGCCACCAGGGAGGCCCTAGAAACATTTTTGATCATCACAACTGGGAGATGGTAGTGACACCTAGTAGGTTGAGGTCAGAGGCTGCTAAACACCCTTCAATGCACAACCCCTCCAAAGTAAAGAATTATCCTGGCCAAAATGTCAACAGCACCACAGCTTAGAAAGGCTGATGTAGAAAAAGGAAGAGGCAGTTATTTCCTTACATCTTCTCTTCCCAAAGATTAAATAAAAGAGACAGGGTTTTTTAAAAATCTTAAACACTTTTATTTCAAGTTTATGATATTAATTCTTTTTTTTTTTTTAATTTCCTTACTGGTATTTTGTCTTTTTTTTTTTTTTTCCAAAGATTTATTTATACAAGCACTGGGTACAGTCAGAAGCACGGGAGGGTGAGAGAATTCACCAGAGCCAGAGCGGGGAGCAGAGCAGGCAGAAGGACCGAAGTACACTGCTGAGGGAGCAGCGGGCGGCAGGAGAGGTCTGCGCGCCATGTGGGACCCTCCTCTGGTGGCCGGGGAGCAGCCGGGGATTGAACCGGCGCTGCAAAGGCTGCGGGCAGCTTCATAACCCAGCGCTCAACCGCTGCGCCACCGGGGAGGCCCTATGATATTAATTCTTAACTAATGCTAACAACATATAATAATATCAGCCAAATCATGTAATTCAGGTTCCTAAAAATCTTTATAGTTTAAAGGATTTAAAACTTTAATGTTTTTATTCTCAATATAAAAATATACAGCTAACACACCAAATAAAAT